CATGGTAATACCATGTTCTTTTTTTATAAGCGCTATGTACAGTGTTTTGTAGTATAAACTGGAAAATACACTAACAGCTCCTTTGTAAGTTCACTGCTGTATATTATGATCTTATGAACCTATACAGGGTGTCCTAACAAGTATTCTCTCCTCTAGTCCAGATTGTGATCGTTGATTTATTTTTGGGACACCCTGTACATAATTGATTCAGTTCTAACCTCATGTGCAAGTGCCTTAAACAACTTAGATTTGATCCTGTTATTGATGTCATCCCATTGTGATTCTGGTTACAAGTGATCATGGAAAGTAACAAAAGTAACAAATATCGATTAATAAAATTAAGCAATTTAATTCTAGACTCTAACATAGAATATTACCTTCGATAGAAAATATAGTGGAAAATAGTGGAAAATATTGAATGAAAATGAATGCGATGTATGTAATTGTGTTAAGGCATCAGAAAAGCTAAGGACCCTATGGAAAGAACAGAAAAAGGAGAGGAGAGATCAATTCAACTGGCAAAAGAAAAATGCAATAAACCAAGCAAGGAGGGAAAAGTACCAACAGAAAAAGAGGATGGTGAAGAGGAGTGCGGAGATGGAAGGGCAGTCCTGCTCTCAGACAGAAGGAACTCCACCCCTGAATCAATCAGCAGCACCTGGTCAGGCAGCAAAGTCAAATTACAAAAAGAAAATTGTTGAAAGTCTGCCACCTGACCCCTCACTGAAGGCTGTTGTCCTGGATGCTGCAATTCAGCATCAAACACCAACATCCCGCAAGATAATTACAAACAAACTGGGGATGCTTTCTCTGGATGCGAGGAGGAAACTCATTGATTCAAAATTGATCAGGGAGTCGGTGAAACAGACCGTTCAAGGATTGGAAAGGAAGAAAATAGATGTGGCCAGGCGCAGAACTATCGCTTATGCGATGATGGCCAAGAAGAAGAGCCCGACATTGTTAAAAAGTGCAAGCATTTCACGAAAGGTGGCCCAGAAGATCAACAGCATACAGAAGGAGGGGAACTGGGAGGAGTTTCGGGAGAAGAGAAAAGATTCCCCGTCTCCAGAGGTAATGGAATCGGTTTTGGAGTTCTACCAACAAAACGAGACGAGCTCCAGCGTGCCAGACCCATGCAGTGCCCTACAGAAAGATGGCGAGATGAAAGATGTGGCCAGGCCCAGATCTATCGCTTTATATGATGGCCAAGACTACGAGCCTGAAATTGTTAAAAAGTGCAGGCATTTCACGAAAGGTGGCCCAGGATATCAACAGCATACAGGAGGAGAACTGGGAGGAGTTTTGGGAGAAGAGAAAAGATTCCCAACTCCAGAGGTTTAGAAATCGGTTTTGGAGTTCTACCAACAAAACGAGACGAGCTCCAGCATGCCAAACCCACGCAGTGCCCTACAGAAAGATGGCGAGATGATAGCCAGAAAAGTTATGATATCAACCCTGGCAGCTTCATTATAAACCTAACGTAAATATATGTGCGTTTCCCATAATTTGGGCTGTTTTCGATGTGTGTCCATGTTCAAGCTTGTACAGGACGATTGGACGATTAAAAGAAGTATTGAACGTATAAAGTAAAAGTCTGGCGAGTTTTTTTTGCGTGTGTGAGTCGCAGAATAAGTAAAGAACATTGGTAGTAGTTTGATACAAAATAATTAGCTTCATAAGCCCGCCGTAAATTTCGTCCAAACGGACCGCAAGGTCTAGCTCCCGTGGAATTATAAAATAAAGATTATCTTTTCTGTTATAATTTTCACACATTATTGAGTTTCGACTTTCAAACCAATGAAATGAACTATGGAAGTTAGATTAGCGTGCAGGATTCCTTGCTCGAATTATTGGGTGTCTAGAGGCCGCCATATTGTAAAAATAGGTACGCTTATTCGCCGCAAGATGGCGCTATGTCTCCCATGTCCACACCTCTATTGAACCTACATGTACTATGACCTACGACGAGTAAGGAAGTGTGTGGACCCTTCTCCTTGTATTGTGTATTGACTGTTTTGATAGATTGTAATAAAAGAAACGTTATTGCGCATCTTCAGCAGCGATTTGAAAGTGAAATCAAGAAATGGAAGATAAAATCACAATTATGGAAATCTACAATCGTTGAATGAATCTTCTTTTCTATGGCATGTCATAGAGGAAAAGCCCAAGAAAATGTGTATGCGGTTCTGAAAGAAAATTTGTCTTACCTGGGCATCAACGAGTCGGATGCTAACAACATAGCCCTCGTGAACGCTCACCGCCTCCCCAGCCAACGTGTTGGGGAACGACAGGGGCCCAATGTGATCATAGCAAAGTTTGTGTACACATGACCGGGAGAGAGTCTTGCGTTCCTTTGAGGACCGCCAATGCCATCGTGTCGGAACGCCAACACCTCACCCCTGGCCCTGAACGTCGGATCACCGTTCGCACAGACCTTCCTCCAGCCCTAAAGGTACAACACGGGTGCCGTTACTCTAGGTTGCGGTGGTGTTAGACTTAGCTCTGTATAGACTTTATCACCTGAAGCGATGATCCGTGACATGAAAAAAAAAAAATCAACGGCTGTCTATAGCCCTGCTAGCAAGGCGCAGCCCACCAGACCTAAAGGGGCTGATGCCGAGGAAGTACCGTTCCATGATCTTATGACGGATCAATTTGCTCTGATTCAGAATAGATTGGACAAGTTTGAAAGGAACATGGAGATACAAGGAGAAGATTCTGTGGAACGCCCGCAATTTGAAGGGTACAAAGATGGTAATCACAGATGGCTTACCGAAAGCAGTTTGCGAGGCAAGGAAATCTCAGTTTCGACTACTACACGCCAGAGCAGTTGGGAAAACGGCCTTTTTCTCTAGAGCGAAGTTGAGCAAGCTTTAAATTGATCGCAAGTATGTCCCTGTAATTGAACAACAGGCCATATTTAAAGAGTTTAAAAAAAATTAAAACGGAGGAATGCCAATACATTTTCATCCAAGAGATTAAATTATGGAAATAAAGCGTGAATAAAGTGTGATAAAGATTGATAGATAAAGCTGATGTCAAGTGATATGCAGATTTTATTTTTAAGATTTCAATAATTTTAAGAAAGAGAACAAGATAAACAGCAAATAATAAAATGTGTTTTGCTTCCTTTATTCCAATGTGGAATATATAGGGTCTACTCTTGCTTTAATATTTTGGGCATATGGATGCCTGTGAACGGAATGTTGTCATGTATTAGAAATTGCAGAGGTTTTTTTTCCTTTTTGTGTGTGTGTGTGTGTGTTTGTTTATTTGTTTGTTTTCTTCATTTTTTTTTAATGTACCCAAGGCACAAAGGGATAATGATAATCATTAGTTAAGTATTAATTTTAGATGAAAGTTTCTATCATCCCACTTTATGCACAAAATCTCCAGCCAATGAGACGACCAAGAAAAAAAATGTGTTTTGGTATATTTGTATAATTGTATAAATCTGGAAAATAGTGATTTGCTGTCAAATATCGTGGAGAAGGCAGTAAAAAAAGCAGTAACAGAAGCGGTCGCTGGCCTAGTTACCCGTCGAGGAGCAGGAGGGGAGAGTTCTAGAACTAGAGGGGCAGGTTCGGCTTATGCAAAGGAGATCAAGCCCCTCACAAAATCCGAGGAAAGTTGCAGGGATGCTATTTCCTGTTTGGAGCGGAAGGCTGACATTCAGGAGCAGCACTCCCGGCGCAACAACCTCCGCATCCATGGCATCAAGGAGAGCCCACAGGAGTCAACGGATGACCCATCTGTTGGTTGGCCGATCAGCTGGGCTTCGAAATCACTCCAGCTGACATTGACCGCTCGTACCGTATATCACCTGGAGGCGGCAATTGTGCAGCAGTTCTGCACGTACCGCACAAGAGTAAAATTTGTGCAAGCCCGCTCCAAGCTCAAGGGGACGGGTGTATACATAAATGAGGACTTGACAGCAGCAAATCAGAAACTTTATCACACGGTGCGTCGCTCGTAGAAAGTCTTGAGGGCGTGGAGCATTGATGGCTGCATCTTTGCTTGCATCAAGGACTCACATGGTGGTTTCATCAAGAAACTGGTTACATGCGAGGCAGATATTGCCAAACTGTGACTCATAAGCTACTCATGAGGGACCTGAATTCTGAAAAGCCTTGCTTTCAACCAAGGTCATCTCATCTTTCTATTGTGACGCCATATTCTCTCAACTTGTTTTATTCATGTCATATTTGTAATGTGTGTTTAATATGAAAGAAAGATAAATAAACCTTGAACTTGAACTTAACTGACACATGGGTCCTACCAGGACCATTTACCTAGCTATCGATGTGCTTTTATGATTACTCTTGTTATAAATGTGCACACATGGTAAGGTTTAAACCTAAAAATCCAACATCTTCACCCATAATTTTGTGGTGCTACTTTGAGGAATGTGAGCAAGCATTCCAAGCAAGGAAGAATTCCATCAGCAAGGATAGACTGCTAGTTCAATACGATTCAACTCAGGAAGTGGAATTTAGCGCAGATCCTTTACCATATCGGGTAGGTGCTGTTATCTGACATGTTAACGGAACTAGAGAGAGGAGGCCCATGCCGTATATATGCATCTAGAAGCCTCAACAAGCAGAAGAAGGGTTACGCACAACTTGACAGGAAAGGCACTAGCGATGTTTTGGTCACTGGCTGATACATGTATTTTGTGGACTTTTCCCCACAATGCATCACATAAAATCAACTTAATACTGGTGTCACTAGATGGAGCTGTTAATTTTGAATCTACCCTATTGGCCTGGAAATTCAAACGACATCATCATGCACTACACATGTAGAACATGTGTGTCTGCGATTGATAGTCAAACTCTAAAATTCCTGTAAAGCTGAATCTTCCCATAGGGCTCTACACACCCGTAATGTGGTCAAAAAATCATGGCTGGAACAACACATCTCACCCTTTAATCTTTTACTTGGCTCTTGTGAGTCGAGATTTCATTACCTACAGAAGAAGACGACACAAACAGAGATTATTCTTATAATAAGTATCTCAAAAAGTATTGGAATAATTTCCAAGTTAAGATTTATTTTACCTCATAAAACTTTATTTTTATTAGTGTATAATTCGTTAGTACTCCCATATATAACCTACTGTAACGTTGTTTGGGCTAGTTGTGGTTCTACAAAGCTGTCTCCTATTTTTAAAGTACAAGGAGAGCAATTCGCATTTGTACAGGATCGCATTACTTGGCCCTCACCGATCCTTTATTTTTTAAACAAAAAGCACTAAAAATTGCCGACTTATATACTATTCAAATAGCTATCATTATGTTTAAGTATATTAATAATCTGCTCCCTTCGTCTTTTGATGACATGTTTAAGTTCAATAGCTCCGTCCATACCTACCCAACTCGCATATCCGGAAACTTTCATCTCACAAACCCAAGACTGTTAATTGCCTCTAAATCAATTCGTCATCATGGTCCAGACATCTGGAATAATCTTTCAGACAATATTAAATCTTGTTCGACCATATACTCCTTGAAAGCCACTCTAAAAAAAACTATCATTCAATCTTATGAATCCCATACTCCAAATTAATATATTCACATAAATATTCACATTCATCATTCAATATCCTCATTTTACTCAACTGCTACATACAGCACCAGCACCTGCACCTTGAAAATGGTTTCTCCTAAAGGAACCTGTCTACAAAGACCACCTTTCTACAAAGACCACTTTTTGTGTTTCCCTTGGGTGGTCGCTATAGACAGGTTTGACTGTATTACAAATTCAAGAAATTTCATAAAAAGTGAATATCATAGATGGCATCGGCCTGCCGAATCGCTACATCCGTTCCCTCACACATGGTCCTCCAATCGGCGGAGATCGGTTCAACGCCGTAGAACGCCCCGGCGATGGCACCCGCCATGGAAGCGATTGTATCGGTGTCACCGTCCAACGAGATGGCATAGAGTATGGTGCGCTCCAGAGCGTTGGAAGAAGAGATGCCTTCCACCGGTGTCCGGCAGCGCAGGAAGGAATAGATGGCTGCCGGTACGCTCTTGTGAGCCGAGATTTCATTACCTACAGAAGAAGACGACACAAACAGAGATTATTCTTAATACCATACATTCGATAAATGCAATACAGGGGGGTGTTTCATAAAGACTAAGATCGACTTTAAGTTGGACTTAACTATGGCAGGCCTTTAATGCCAATACATTAGTTCCTCTAACTATGCCTGGCATTGGTTTCTCAAGGGACGTACAACTCGTGGTCACAAATCTACAGAACTTACCTGATTTGATACTTTATTATTGAAGGAAAAAATATTTTCTAAAGATCATAACGAGAAATAAAGCAAAGAATGAATCATAGTTTACCTAGTTCAGCTGCTACTTTCTTGATATCAGCATCTTCCTCTAGGAGAGGTTTGAATAATCTCAATCTTCTGCAATATTCTCCGCTCTGGGTCCCACCTGCAGTAGAATCATTGTTTGGCCTGGAAAACATTGAAGCAAGAGTCAGGTACCAAGAAATATATAGAAAGTAAACTGGACAATAGCGACTCCAATATATGGCGCCCTTGTGTGTGTGTGTGTGTGTGTATTGGGTTTTTACAGACATGTATATCAATCATATATGATTATTTACGTCTGGGGATCAACCTTTAAACGTCACCATCCGAAAGACGTGACTCAGTTTTGAACCTGCGTCATCGGCTGAATCATTTTGTAACTTCCATTGTTAGCTGGATTACAGACGCACGCCACAACGCCTTGGAATAAGACACAGTATTTTATGGTCTCTAAATTTTGTCACATATTTTCTAAGAAAAGGGACTCGAAAACTACAGAAATTGTTATTTTGTCATCATCAGCATATTATTTCATCATCACTAGAGGTAATATCATAATCTTGGACACAATGAGTCAATCAGGAACCAGGAAAAGTGTGAGAAATGCGGAGAAGCAGCCAACGAAGGTGAAAGCGGACCCACCCTATGACACATCACCGACTATGGAATCAAATACACGGAATACCTCTAGCAAGGCTGTATACGAGAGTGCAACGGACCGCACCAAGGATTTCTTCAGCAGCCACACGTATGAGGATCCTACGCTAGGCAAATTGAAGCCTACCACGGACATCACCCCGGATACCTCCCTGCCTCAGCTACCACCAAATTTTGAAAGTCTTTTAACCCTTACTGTACTGGGCTATTTTGAGCACCCACTGACTGGGGGGGGGGGGGGGCCTGGGAGGCCCCCCCCCCCCCTATGATCTCGGCCGTCGATTGTCCGATGAACACGAAAATTTGCATGTTTGTAGATATTTACGTAAGGAACAAGATGGTATAATTATTTTTTTCCGAATATGCAAATTTTTGTCGTTAGCCTAATTAATTATGCAAAATGCGCTAATTTTATGCATTTTACAGAAAACGTGTCAAACTCCACTTTTTGAATGTTGAAACTCATTATTCATATGAAACTTCTTTTCTAACACAAAAAAGTTATTTTAATGCAATTAATAATGATAATTTATGCAAATACTAATTGTTATGTAACGCCTTACAGGTATATCCGATTTTTACGAAAATGGTATCAAAATGTGCGTAAGACTTGAGGGAAAAAAGTCATGAATCGACAATTCAAAATTCCAAGCGGTTGCGGCGCAATCTCCGAAAATGTCGAGGGGGGGGGCCTCCCAGGCCCCCCCCCCCCCAGTACAGTAAAGGTTAAAAGCCATGACCGACAGATCTGAGCAGATGCTACATAATTCTGTCGACAAGGTCCTCAAGAAGCTTCAAGTTGTTGAGGATAATTTTGCAGCTTCGCAGAAATCGAGCGCAAGCGAATAGATGAGCTTTTTCTTTATCGTCAGCGTGTTGAGTTTTCCATATTAAAGGAGGAAGATATCTAAGCTAAAAAAACAAGTGAGCGAGCATAAGGAAGCAGCTAACAAAAATGAAAGATTCAGCAGAAACAACAGCAATGGACAAGCTCCAGAAAGCAAACAACACAAAAAGGGTTAGGAATTGGAGATTAAGAGTCCAGCTACAACCAAGTACATCGAACACAAATGAAGACCTTTCATCTGATGCCACTTTGATGCAAACAACAACACCCGGCAATGCAGCAAGCCCAGCGTGCTGGTCAACAAGGAGAGCTGTGAGAAATGCTAAGCGCATTCTTCCTAATACAGAGATGCCAACCTCTTGAAACAAAAAAATCAGATTTTGGAGAGAAAAATCATATTTTCACGAAAATTTGACACTACCACTGGCCCGTCGGCCCCGGGCCAGTAGAATTTCAGAAAAATGTTTTACTGGTAGGCCTAAGTACGGTCAAGTAAAATGTTTGCTCTTAAATTAAAATTGAATGAGAAAGTTGTAAAGCAAAGTGTATTTGGGTTTGCAGGGGTTTACTTGTGTATGTTTCTATGCGATTCCGCTGTTTTTATGGGTTAAAAAAAAAAAAAAAAAAAAAAATGACCGCTCGTACTGCATATCACCTGGAGACGGCAATTTTTTTTGTTTTTTTTTTGTTGTTGTTGTTGAAAAGTCGTATTTTAAGAGGTGATATTATCGTATTTCACTCTTATTATCGTACTAAATACTAAATACGATTTAATACTGGTTGGCATCTCTGCTAATACGCCAACAAGAAGGGGGCAAGTTGTAGAGAAGCTGCTAGATAGCCCCAGAGTGTCAAACTACCTGTCAAGAAAAAACATCATAGTCAGCAATGAACAGAAGAAAAAGAATGAGTTTGGTGAAGCTCTCATTGGTGTACTGGATGAATCTCTTGCCGAAAAAAAGCCATCAGGTTCAAGCAGTAAATCAAAGGCTCGTGCATATTCAGCTCTGAAACACATTGCAGGTACTCGCCTTGTGCTTCAACGATACTTCAGGCTACGAAAACGGCTGCCAAATGTTCCAAGCTAGTGGAAAGCCTGTGACACAGCACGGAAGAAAAGAAAAGATAGAGTAAGCGATGAAATACGTCGGGAGATATCCGACTTCTATCTTCGACCTGAAGTCAGCAGAGAAGTACCAAGTAAGCGAGAAGTGATTCATGTTACAGATAAGCAAGGTGAAAAAGTAGCAGTCCAAAAGCATGTCATGGTGATGACCCTCGGAGATGCTTAATTATAGAGAATATAAGCAACACTTTCCGGATGTACAGGTGGGCTTCAGCACTTTCAAAAGCCTCAAGCCACAGCAAGTGAGGAAAGTCTCAGAAACAAATAGACGAACATGTCTATGCAAGATATGCTGTAATGTAAAATTGAAAGTCGATGCCCTGAGGGGCGCTTCACAAAAACTTGTCATCAGTCACAAATGACAGTTGTTGTCTTAAGCTACTGAAATCCTTGCTTCTGATTGGTTATCAGCAGATTTGTCATTGATTTTTGTCATTTGTCATTGAAAAAAGGCTTTGTGAAACGGGTACCTGAAGACCTTCTTACAGAAAGTTGGCAAGGATGATCCAGGTTGCCACATTCACTAACATCACCAAAAAAGAACTTTCAACTCTTACTACATGTCACAATCTCACTGCGAATTGCCTTCAAAGAGAGTGTCCACACTGTGGAACTAGCAACCTGAAACCAACATTTGAATCACTCTTGTCCAAATTATATCGTGATGAACCTCTACATTGGTTCGAATGGGAGTACATAAAGATTCAAAAGAAGGATAATGTCAAAACATGCATGTCATGTAAGTCACATGAGACATCTCTCCTTGGTCTCCTTGATGACCTGGACGATGATCCTTTGCAATATCCTGCACATGTGTTTCGAGCTGGATGGCAGCATGAACAGATGTGTCAGTGCATCAGTAAACTGGAAGAGGGCGAAGCAGCGGCTGTTACGAATTTCAGTGAAAACTATTCCTGACGTTTTCAAAATAAAATTCCTAACAGCCTTTTTCGATCAGAATCAGGTCACCCTCCGTCCCAAGATGTTTTATTATGACAAAGAAATTGATGGTGAGATCAGGAGAGTGAAATAAGCGATAATAGTAATAATAATAAGAGTGAGTGACGATCTCAAACACGATGCTTGCCTGGTCAGGGAATTCCAGGATAAAGCCCACACAAGTAGGCCAGTCAATCGAGGTAAGAAAGTTGTATGAGTGGACCGATGGCTGTGCAGCCCAATACAAGGCCAGGTCAGCTTTTGCAGACGTAAGCATCCAAAATATAAAGTTGGAGAGAAATTTCATTGAAACATGTCATGGCAAGAGGGTTTGTGATGGTCTTGGGGCTGTCATTAAGAACATATGTTACCAAGCTGTTTTAACTGGAAAAGCATTTCTCAGCACAGCAGATGACGTCTACTCGTACTGTAGCAGCAGATTGTCCCATACTCTCAATTCTATTCCTACTTATTATATTAAAATCAATTCAGGGAAACAACATATGCATTTTCTATTTTTCTAACATCAATACTATTTTCAAACTTTTTTTTTTTGGGGGGGGGTATGGCTTACCTGGACACTTTAGCTGCAGGAGAACCTGGAGCTTCTTCTTTCTCCATCACTTCCAGAAGTCTGTCGATGAAAGCATCCGTGTCAAAGGTCGCGGGGTCAGAGTGCAACGCCAGGTGGACTGCACAGCACTGAAGGATGGTACCACAGTAACCATTGAAGTTGCTATGAGTCAGAAGAGCGCTCTGCCTTGCGGCCTGCATGGAGATGAGGACGTGGGATGTGAATTAAAGCCATAGACCGGTAGTGGTAAAATTGCGGTTCAAGGGTTTTGGGTGCAAAATATCCATTCAATATTTTTTAAATATTGCCTTCAGAAGTCTAGATGGCATTACTTAAACCTAAATTTGCAAAAAAGCAGAAATATATGCCCGAATGTTCAATGTAAAAGTGCATTTGCGATATCTATCCAGGCCAGATCGACATGATAAGTTACCAAATATATCAATTAGTAGTCGGTTTCCCGGCAATATTTGTATCATCGTGTATTAGTCACAACATGTTCTCTCACACGATTGGCAATAAAAGCTTCCATTTCATTTTTTGAGAGTGGGGGCGTTTCCAAAACTGGTCTATACCTTTAAGATCAGAAGGGGGAGGGTTACAAAAGTCTATGGGGGTGCTTTTCAGTCATTAAAATACCTTTTTTTCAAGTAGAAGGTTTAATTCAATATGCAATTGTTGGGACTCCAAGCAGTTTAAGGAAGCTAATGCTGAAGTTTTTCTCCTGTTGACTTTTCAAGTGAAAAGATTGTTTTTTTAAAGCTGTTTGGCTCATCTTCATTTGGAACAACTGGAGAATACCCCAGTACACAAGTAACCCTATTACCCTGCATGCATGACTCTAGGGCCTGCATGTAACCCTGAACCTAATCCCAAACATAACCCTATATTATCCCTAATCCTAATCTTAATCCTAACTCTAATAAACCATAACCCTAACAATAGCTCTAACTCTAACCCTTATCTTACTTCTTACTCTAACGCTAACGCTAATCACAACCCTAACCCTAATCGCAACTCTAACCCTAACCCTTATACAAAGTAAGATGCATGATGGGGTACTCATTCATGCAATTAAAGATAAATTTGAGTTCTGGTAAAAAAAGAAAATGAATTCTCACAGAATCAAACAAAACTTACACTGAATGTTCAAGATAACAAATAAATGTCATAAATTTGCCAAACAATTTTGGTAGAAAAAGTAGGCCCGACACCATTTGTGTAGTCCCATATACATCTTTCTGTGTACAGTGCTTGTTACTTTACTAAGACTGGGCCAATTTTATTTTGATTTTGATGACTCAAGTGCCTTGCAGTACATGTACATGCTACATGATCAACTTTTTCTGATCCATTCCACACTTTTTCTTTCACAATGCAATCGCATGACCAGAACTCAACTTTATCTTTAAGCCTTTCATTTCTTCAGACATATTCCCGTACCTCAATCATTTTGTCAAAATCAGCTTCAGGGCACAGCGCAACAGGGGCCACTCTCATGGCTCCTCCGTTTCCATAGGAACCAGAGCCCTTGAACTGCATCCTCGCCGGTTCAAAAACATCATCTAGGTCTTTGTTGAATGCCTTTAGTACAGAGATAACGTTAGCTCCATAACCTCTGTTGGGTGCATGGGTGTACTCTATCCCAAACCTAAGAAAGAGAAAGAGAAAGAGAAAGAGAGATATCCCATTACTTCATATTCAAAAGGTTTCACGCATGGTCATTAGCAAAATAAAAAATTACCCCCTCTTTAGCATATTTTCAAGAACATTTTCCACCAAAAATCATTCCTTTTTGCATTATTAAGACACATTTTTAAGTGCAACTTTGAGTGCAAAATTGTCCTGCTATATGCTGCTGTACTAATAGAAAAGAAACAAAATTAATCCTGCCCAAATAGATTTTGTAAAGTAACCGGATCTCATGCATACGTCTTTGTGAAGTGCCTCAATACAAATTATTTCATTCATCTGTTACGAATAACTATATTTTGATTGTCAGTATGCGACCTGCATACATTAGTTGTTGCCAGGTAGGACAAACATTATGGTTATAGCCCTACCTAACAACACGTAATATGTTTGCATATTGCGTTCTGACTAATTTCATTGAAATACAATTATTCATTACAGATGAACAAAATATTTGTATGTAGGCACTTCAGAAAGACGTAAGCATTGAATTTAGTTCCATTACAAAAATGGTCTATTGTCAATGTACATGTTAAACCATGGATGTAAAGAAAAGTGATGTATGGACTACACAACAATAGAATCAGTTATGTGCGCAACACATGTTTCCACAAATAAATCAAACCATTTAGTGAATACACTGCTGTTTAAGTTTCTGTTTATGTAGCAGAAATTTTGACAAGATTTATATAATATCCACACCTCTTTTGGCCATGTTTATTCAGCTAGCTAAAGTTGGATGTGGAATAAGGATGGCAAATTAGCCAATAGAATATTCTTCAAATATTGTGATATGATGTCAGACAAACAAAACAAAACATCAGAAGAACTCCAATTTTTTAACCAATATTTATCAAATGGCTGAAATTCTTTCAAATTATAATTAATTAATTATTTTTAATCTGTAAAAACTTACTTTTTAGCAAGATCCTCGCTGTTTAAATTCCCCTTATTCTCAATGAGCGACTCAGCTATGCAGCGACACATTGCTGTATCATCAGTGTATCGAAAGTAATCTTAATTGGTAAATTAAAAAAATAGAGAAAAATAATGTGAACCATCTCACATTTGACTTATTTCCTCCATTCAAATAATTACTTAATATAATGCAAGTGGAACATCACTTACTTTGATATACATGTAGTCACAAAGATCCTATCTTAACGAATCATTAACAAAAATCAAACAGATTGTCTGAACTATGCTTCTCAGTTCTCAGAAATAAGAACAGAAAAAAGGAATGATAGAGAAGTATTCCATGTCAAATATAGCAAGTTTCACAGATTCACTTGTCAAAAATACTCAAATTTATCCCTTTCATTACATTTTTTTTTCGGGGGGAGGGGGGGGCTAAATGTGGGTAGAAAGTTGGTCAAGAAGCTGAAAAATTTCGTCAAATGCAATGTGGTCACACAACAAAAATGGGCAAAATATGTGCAGAAACTCTTGCCCTTTCTATTCATTTATCTGGTATATTTTGTTGTGCTTTGACTAAAAAGCTACTGACCTCCTGAACCAAAAGGGTTTGGAATTTCCATATTTCATGTTCCAACCTTAACGGCAGTTTAAAAAAAAAAAAAATCAATGATGAGTGACAAAACATCTGATTTGCTTGTCATAAATATCATTAGTAGTCCATTTTACAAGACGCAAGATGATGACTGAAATCGATCAATGACATATGCCAGTAAATGGTTTAACAAAGACTCATCTTAAGGATGTTAATTAGTTAAATGGTAATCTCAGTCTTTAACAACCTATTCATCGACACACATTCTAACTACCAAATCACCTATCAAAAATAAGACATGGAGATGATGAAGGGTATAAAGAGCAGAGGAGAAGTAGAAAAGAGGGGGGAGTGAGAGGAAAGAAAAGTGAGAGGAAAGAAAAGTGGAGAGAGTCAGAAAGACAGAGGGAGAGAGGATAAGATAGGAAAACAGGATGAGAGAGAGGCAGGGGAGAGAGAGAAAGTGACAGAGGAAGAATGAGAAATATACAGTAAGTGATGAAGAGATAGACAAGCAAGACAGAAGCAGAGAGAGGAGAAAGAGGGGGGGGGGAGGGTGGATAAAGGGAGAATCCAACAATGGGAATAAATTTATATGTGTACCTTTTTCTTTGATCTCTGTTCCAATCTGCTCGAAGAATGTTGTCAGTGATCCGAAGGTATCTTTTGGGGGAACACCACATATTTCGTACGGAGCTCCAAGGCAGTCACCCGACACAGCACCTACAAGACACCCTTGTAAGCGAGATCTTAAGGTAGGGGTCAGAGCCATTGCCATTGATCCTCTTATCATCCGTTTGAATCTGTATGCTGCGATTTACGCGAGAGTGAGGATTTTTCTGTCTATTCTAACTTTCTAAGTTAGTTAGAAAAGTGCCTGCAAGAAAAAGCAAATTAAGCAAAAAAATGTGACAGAGTCAGCATGAGAGTGTGGAGAGATCTAGATAGAAATAACCTTCTGGAATGGGAAATTCTTGAATAAAACTTGACATAGGTATGTCAACCTTCCCAAAGTGGAGCCAGACATAGTCTGAGCGAAATAACTGTAGATATCAGAGAGTGAAACTTCCGGTCTAGACTATAGTATAGATCGAGTTACCACAAAAACACATTTCACTCTGTGAAATACACAAAAATCATGCTGAAACATCAATGGAGGGTTATCCTACACTTCAGTGTATTTTATTATTTATGGTTCCTACATGTACCTTCAGTCAACACCTCTACATGCATAGACCCTATACGTTGAGTGGTTGTCACGCACAGGTTTCAAAGTGACACACTGGTCTGGCTATTGAATCTCCAGACCTACTTTTTCAATGGCCTGCTTTCAAAAGGGGATAATATGAGTATGTATTTCCTACTTGGTTTGAACGGGTTTTATCAATTATGAACAGTGGGTAGGATAGTTTTAGGGTGATGAGAAGGGGGAGGGCATAGTCATGTTGCCAGGATGCCGGGGGGGGGGGGGGACGGGGGGGGGGGATTCCCCTCCTCCCCTGCCAGCCCTTGACCATCCAGTCTACATGATTTTGCCCAACCCCTTCTCATCACCCTAAAACAATTTTACTCACTGACACTGTACATAGTTAATAAAACCCCTTCAAACAAAGTAGGTGATATACTCCCGAGTTCTGTAAATCCCCTTAAGTTGCACCCCCCCCCCCCCCCCTTGTAGTGCAGCGGCTTAGCAAGAAAATTGTGCACTTTTTGAGAAAAGCATGAAACTTCCAGCATAGTTTGCTTTCACCATAAGATTTATTTTCAGATGTGGAGGGAAGTCAGATTTGACCTCTGATGACCCTGAGAGGTCAAATCCAAAATGGCCGCTTGTCCGCATGGTCTAATGTACAAACACGCTTAACTTTTGAACCAAATACACCAGAAAAACGTTTAAGGTGTCATTTCCAACTAACTTGGGGATGCCAATTCATTTGGTAATACTTTTAAGATCACCTGAACTCAGGGTTTTGCATTTAGGTCAAGGTCAAGGTCAAAATTGACTAAAAATAGCAAGTTTTGAATAGTTACAAAAGGTTAAATCTCATTTATTTGTCATTTGTTCTCAAATTTATTTAGGAATGGTTCACCTGCAGAGTCCTCCACCTTAATCCTTTTCAGTTAGTTTATTTCACAGTTTGATGTGACCTCTGATGACCCTGAGAGGTCAAATCCAAAATGGCAGCCAGTCCGCATGGTCTAATGTATAAACGTGAACTTGAACCAAATAATCTAGAAAAACGTTTAAGGTGTCATTTCCAACTAACTTGGGGATGCCAATTCATTACGTAATACTAAGAGATCGCCAGAACAAAGAGCCCCCGTGAGAAGGCTCACGGGGGCTCTTTTATTACTGACGGGGGCTCTTTTTTATACAAATATCCATTGAATTGGTACCTATGATACTCCTCAATTATTTGCTATTTTTTCATTATCATTTCAATCAGCATTTTCCCTCTTACAAATTTACAAGCTACATAGCTGTTACTGGCCTATGTATATAATATATACGCATACAACACTGATCTTTATGATGTCTTTAACGTGACATATCTTCTTCTCCCCTTGCAAACGAAAAAGAAAACAAGGTCATTAAAAGGGATTAAGAGACAAATAATGATTGTGATTCAAATTGATGCGAATATTTGTTTGAATAAGCACTGCTATTCACCCGAATCTTCTTTGTAAAAACAACTTTTACAAATCTCAGCCATGCTTACTGAGTTGAGACGTTCCATTCAATTTGAAATACCCATTACATAATACACTTCTCCTAATCTCAAAGTGATCTTCCAGCACAGTGGCAGAATTGCATGGCTGAGATTTGTAAAAGTCGTTTTTACAAAGAAGATTCTGGTGAAAAGCATTGCTTATTCAAAAAAATCCTTGCATCAATTTGAATCACAATGATTATTTGTCGCATGGTCCTTTTATTAAATAACCTTGTTTTCTGTTTTGTTTGCAGAGGGAGAAGAAGCTATGTCACGTTAAGAAATCATAAAGATCAGTTGTATTATGTGTATATACATTATGATACCAGAACAAATGTTGATTATCAGAATGTCATTTTGGAATACCTCTATACAAATACCACATTGTCTTTAGCCCGTATCAGTATTAGTATGATCCAATATAAAGCTATTATTCTTTATTTAATTCAGTATAATGCTTTTCCTCAAAAATAGTTTTGCTATTTTTTTAGGGTTGAGACGCTAAGAAATGGTTTCAAATGTACATTACACGAACCCTGAACCATTGCAAAATGATGGTGGTTCTCTCTCTCTCTCTCTCTCTCTTTATTTTAATCATCCATTATCAACTACATATAAAGCAGCAACCAAAAACTTAGGATTATCTGAGATAGGTGAAAGTAAGAGTTAAAAAGAAAGTCATGCTAAAACGGCGCTTCACTTCCCCCCGCCCCCTGAAAAAAAAAAAATAGATTAGTAGTCCTCCTCTCCAGCATCCCCCTCCCCCCCCCCCCCCCCCCCCCCGTTTTAATATCACATTTTCACTTGGCAGCACAAAGGGGCCGGGGGTGGGAGGAGGGGGTTAAACCCCCTAACCCCCCCCCCCCCCCCCCCCCCCCCCCCGTAGATCTGCCCATGTTACCATATCATTCCACGACATTTTGGTCTTCCTCTTCTCCTCAAAAGGGACTTTTAGATTTGCGTGGACGTGGACGTGTTACGTCCTTTTAAGGCACTGGCAGTCACATATGTGACGTCCTTTTAAGCACTGACCGTGCCTTAAAAGGAGGTCACACGTTGCAGCCACGTTCTCATCGTGCAAATCTAAAAGTCCCTAATATTGATTTACTGGTCGAGGTTCATTATTTGCTGACAACGAAAAACTTCTCCAGGCCATGACCATGTTTCTGCCCTTGCGCGATCGCCTCCAGCTCCAGCAGACATGGCGCGGCAGCGTGCACACGCACCGCTACTAAAGGCGCAGTAGGCCTATAACCACTGCTGACGGCGGCACTGCACTGCGAGCTAAATCGGTAATAGGCCTACTCATAATACGAGAAATCTTGCACGCTAATCTTAGTTCCATTTCATTGGTTTAAGGTTTGAAAATTGAAACTCAATATTGTGTTAAAGTTATAACAGAAAAGATAATCTTTATTTTATAATTCCACCGGGGCGATTTTTAATTTTGCAATCGCCCCCGTGAGCAACCTGATGGGGGCGATTATGTAGCTCACGGGGCGAATCGCCCACCGCCCCCGTGTATTTTGAGCGCTGCTAGCTGCCCACTGACCATGCTATATGCAAATGGTCAGTTACAAGACAAATAATGGTTTGGTGCTATAATTAGTGAAATAAACTAACTGATTACGATGGAGACTATGCAGGGGAACCACTCCTAAAGAAATTTGAGAACATAAGGGGACAAAAAAATGGGAAAACTTTTTGTAAACATTCAAAACTTTTACCTTGACTTAATGCAAAAGCCCTGATCGAGTTCTGGTGTACTAAAAAGTATTACCAATTGAATTGGCATCCCAAAGTTAGTGGGAAATGACACCTTAAACGTTTTGCTGGACTATTTGGTTCAAGAGTTAAGCGTGTTTGTACAATTATTAGACCATGCTGCGGACTGGCGCCATTTCTTATTTGACCTCTTAGGGTCATCAGAGGTCAAATCGAAATGTGAAATAAACTAACTGAAAGGGATTAAGGTGGGTGACTATGCAGGGGAACCACTCCTAAAGAAATTTGAGAACATAAGGGGACAAAAAAATGGGAAAACATTTTGTAACTATTCAAAACTTGCTATGTTTTAATCAATTTTGACCTTGACCTTGACCTAAATGCAAAGCCCCGAGTTCTGGCGATCTCAAAATTATTACCAAAATGAATTGGCATCCCCAGGTTAGTTGAAAATGACACCTTAAACGCTTTTCTGGACTATTTGGTTCATGAGTTGAGCGTGTTTGTACAATTATTAGACCATGCGGCGGACTGGCGGCCATTTTTTATTTGACCTCTCAGGGTCATCAGAGGTCAAATCAAAATGTGACATAAACTCACTGAAAGGGATTAAGGTGCGTAAATTCCTAAAGAAATTTGAGAACATAGGAGAGAACAAATGACAAAGAAATGGGAAAACTTTTTGTAACCATTCAAAACTTGCTATTTTTTAGTCAATTTTGACCATGACCTTGACCTAAATGCAAAACCCTAAGTTCAAGCGATCTCAAAAGTATTACCAAATGAATTGGCATCCCCAAGTTAGTTGGAAATGACACCTTAAATGTTTTTCTGGACTATTTGGTTCAAAAGTTAAGTGTGTTTGTACATTAGACCATGAGGAATAGCGGCCATTTTGGATTTGACCTCTCAGGGCCATCAGAGGTCAAATCTGACTTCCCTCCACATCTGAAAATAAATCTTATGGTCTAAACTAACTATGCTAGAAGTTTCATGCTGTTCTCAAAAAGTGCACAATTTTCATTATATTGGGAGCTTATCCGCTGTACTATTGCCTTTTGGCTCAACCATCCAGGCTACATTAGTACATCACTATGCCTAACCCCTTCTCATCACTTTAGACAATCGCATACCGTACCGACGAAGGTATCGACCGTTATAATGGTCATCGTCATAAAGTGGACTACTCACTTGAATTTAATGAGAATCTGAAATTACAGTCAATAACTTCACGCATGCTCGCACGCCCACGCCCCTTTGTTGGTACGGTATGCCATTGCATTGTCATGTGTGAGAAAGTGTAGGGCCTAGCTATATCAATTATCATGTCTTCATTTTTTAGGAAAAATTAACATGAAAGGGGTAAGAAATATAACGGCTTGATATCATGACCATTATGTGAACAAGTCAATTGATGATGATTAGACTAAGTTGATTTTTT